TTTATTTCTGAGTCTCCAGGTGAAGGACTATCAAAAATATCTTCCTAACTAGCAAGACTAAACAGTGGTTGCTTTGTGGGCATGAGTAGGAGATGGTTACAGAAAGAATATATTGTAATTGCTTTCAAATTCTTGTTTCAAACCTACCTCAGATCCCACCTCCATACCTTTCTACCCTTTATTATAGGGGTCTCCTTGGTAAATGCTTCTTCATCTTCCCAAGCAATTTAATGTTGCATCATCAACTTCTTTTATGTCTGACACTTAACTGTGTCATCGCACCTATTCAGGGTACAGGGATTATTTGCTTGTAAGTTTCTTTTTACTCTTTTGTATGTACAGAAAGAACCATGTGTTCCTGCAATACCAGTTTGGATTCCTGACATTATAGAAAAATCTTCAGTGAAAATTTGACAGATGAATATATTGCATTATGAATAATTGTGTTTGACTTATCCTATAAATTATGGGCAATCATTTATGTATTTTAGTATGGATTTGTGATTTCTGTAAATTTAGACAATTTCATGTTAGCTCAAGAATTGAATTTTCCCTTCCCTCAGACACCCACAGGGGACTCAATGTGGGGGTGGGAGGAGGCAAATATTGTTTAAAAAAATTAAAAATTATAAAATAAAAAATAATTGATTTTTCCTGAAATTTCCTGAACTTTTATGATCAGTGTTCTATATAATTTAATAGCATAATAGATGAACAATAGCATTACTACAAAACTACAAAAGTCACTAAAATAATGTCTATTGTGACTACTATTAATTTGAGTTGTGAATCTGTGTCTAGGAATGTGATATGTTCGTTAAAGAAATATTCTTACATAAGCTAAATCACTGGATAGGCAAAAGAAACATAGAACATCAGACTAATTATCACAACATAAACATTTTGTTTACAAAACATAAAATCCATCCTTCTGTCCCTGGTAGTAGTCAGTGTTGTTGATGCCCCAAAATGTAAAGAAGTCACAGTAACATTATTATATGTCAAAATAAGACACATTATTGATTCTGCAACTACCTTAGCTTGCCTTTCACTATTTTCGTTGGTGTTACTTGGCTAGTTCAATTCAGTAGCCATGCTTTTAGTCTCCATGGTTACTTTTGCAAATGCAATTTGGTGAGAAGATCAGAGTAAAAATCAATCAAGAGAGCGCTTGGACATGCAATTTAACAATTCTTCCTAATGTGGACACTTCATGGTCTGTGTCCTAGAGTCCTCTAGGAATTCTCTTAATTTTTTAACTGACATTAAACTAGTTTTAATATTATTCCCCTTTTGGAAGACTTAACAATAAATTCCCTGTAAGCATTTCCTATATAATTAATATTAAAATATGCCATTTGTAGCAGTGAATTATTGCACATCACTTATATCTGGTAGTGTAAATGAGGGAAGTGAAGAGATTCTAAACATTTGAAAAATATAAGCATTCAGATATGTATTAATTTTTATAAAAGAACTTTAGCAATTTTATGTATGGATGGGGGGTGGAGCATGACACTTAGGAATTTGTAAATAACTCTTATTTCTTTTATTGTAGTACCACTGTTTTGCATCTTTGTTAGTATTTTGCAAGTATAGGTTCTCCTAGGTGATAGTAAAGTTGCTTGTCCAGAAACTATACAGTAAGTTCTCACTTAATGTTAATAATCGATTATTGGTATCTGTGACTTAAAGCAAAATAACATGTAAGGAAAGCAAGTTGTTTTGTTCAGTATACTGTAACTTGATGATCAGTTGTGATTTATCTTGAAAGTAAGTGTGTAATGGTTTATATTTGCTTGGTTATATAAAAGGTTGAGAATTCTTTCTGTCTTTGTAACCTCTTGGAAGGTTCCCTGCAATGTGCATCATATTTATATTTGTTCAATAATACATGAGTTCATTCTACAGTCTGTTGAGAGGATTTTTGGATTGGAGACATTTGTATTATCTTATAGTTTAATTAAGTTTCCTAATTCTATTATCCACTTACTACATACTACCAGTTTCACTATCATTTAGAAATGTACTGAGTGATGTAAAAGACAAGGTATATTTAGAGAGGAAAAAAAAAATCTTTTATGTACCAGCAGGGAAAATGCATTCATTCTTTTAACAAATTCTTAAGGATGCAGACATCACATTCAAAGTTAGATATCATCCCCACAGCATTTTGGAAATTATCTTTTTCAACATTATTGGATTGTGATGCAGTGGTACATTCATTAATTTACCCCAATACTTGTGGAGTTCCATACCTGTTTATGAATATAAATAAGCTAATAAAATAAAATAGTGAGCTCATTAAACAAAGTGATTTTCATGTATTCTGAATATATATCCTTACCTTTATTAGCTTTTGCTAATGTTCATCCATAAGAAATTTAAATGTCAATAAAATTTTAAGTTACCAAATTTCTATAAATTAATCTTAAAAATATGAATTGAAAATGTTCCAATTATATGTATGCTTTCAGAATGAAATCTTTGCATTTATGAACTATTTACATTTTTTGACAACAAATATTATAAACTTAGGCCAAAAACAATATACAAAATTTATGTAGTTTCAAAATATTTTTACAAATGAATTCATGAAAGTCCTTAAGATGAAACAATATTCAGTCTTTTGAAACAGCCTTACAGGATAATAGTCAGATATTTATTAGAAAAAAATCCTATTAAATCTCTGTAGGGATCATATTAATAAAATTCCCTAAAGATTAATTTTAATTATCATTTCTTTTGTTTGTACAATGATTTTCATTTCTTTTAAAATATTAAAACTACTGTTAACAGAATTGATGAATGGCAGTGAATATGTTCAAAGGAATTCCCAAAGCTATAAAAATCTTAAGGGTTTTTTATAGAACCATTTCATTCTAAAAATAGGAAACTATAGTTATTTTAATATATTTTAGCCTATATTTAAATGTTCATTTTTTAATTGTTTTATCACAGGTTTTAGTTGATTATTAATATTTATTTTCAAAATAGACTTTCTGGTGTAAGACTAAATGTAACAAAATTAATAAATTTCTTAGACTCTTTTGAGGAAACCACTATTTTACAGCAGATTGTACTAATGCTCCTCTTACTTAGTCTCTTGTCCAAGAGAAACTACAAATTTGTCTAGGAGAAACTTACAAATGTCATTTTTATATCATTTTAATCATGTGATTGATTGTTTATCATTTGTTTTTGAGTTTCAACTTAAAAAATCAGTATTACCATGTTTGAAGGTTTGGAATTGATTGCATACTTCATAATTAATTTTGCAAAGTATATTTCTATTATGCATTTCAATTATCATTAATAGTCATCATTAACATCAAAAATATTTACAGAATATCTTAAGATTTCACGCTGCTAGCTATAAAATAAGTTCTATTCCAGGGATATCAATATAATAATAATAATAATAATAATAATAATACCTAAAAGATAAAATGAAAACACTAACCTCTCATGCTATTTTCTATGCTTCTATGCTTAGATATGACTTACAAATTAAAAAGCCAACTCTGAGTTTTCTGTATTTAGCGGAATTTCACCTCCAAGAATTAGCAATTATCATTTGACAGAGACAAGTTTCAAGAATCCTAGATTAGAGTCATGTCAGGGTAGGTAGTAAATCCTGTATTTCATTTATCATTGAGCTTGGTGGACAATTTTACTTCCAATTAATAGCACAATGATAGTGTTCCCTCTTGTCTCATATAAGATTAGTGTTGATTGTCCAAACTGCTCTTCAGTATCCCCACATGATAAATTGATTGCACACACTCACTGTATGGAATTTAAGCACTAGTACGCTAACATGATGTACATATGTACATGTGAAAACAGTGGGTTAAATGTAACAAATTTGTTTGGGGAAAATTACCTCTTGTGAATAATTGCTTATTTGTAAAGTTGTTGATAGTTTAACCAAGTTTAAATATGACTCACTAAAACTGTATGATAAAATAGAAGCATTATTACTTTATTTTTTCCTGTGTTCTTAGTATCAAAAATATGTTGCCTATTCCCATTATATAATATTACCCAAATATTGTAGGAAATGTTTGGGCATATAAAGTTGAATATATTTAGCACTACTAAACTGTATACTTAGAAATGGTCAATATGCATTTAAATATTTTCATACTATGCATATAATATAAATTATTATATTTATATTATGCATTTTATAGATGTTATTTATTATTTATTTATAGAAGAACTGGGGTATAGGCCAGAGGTATAGGTGGTGAGAGGATTCACCAGAGAGAGAGTGGGGAGCAGAACAGACACATCTACTGAAATGCACTGCTGAGGGGAGCAGTGGGTGAGAATGGAGGTGTCTGCTGAGGCATATGTGTGTTAGCTCCCTGGATGGGAATGGAACTCGGGCCTCTGCAGTGATAGCGCTGGCTGAGACTTAACCCATATACCACCAGGGAGGCCCACTTTTATGCATTTTTAACTACAATTTTTAAAAATATCATTAAATTCTTCTTTAGCAACTTACAATAGTATCATTTTTCTGAATTAATTGTGATTAATAAATTTGATCAGATGTACATATTAGGAAATGGCAGGTGTCCTAATATTTCCTGGACATAAAGTATTTATCAATATTTTCCTTGGTTACTATAATTTTGAATATTTTTCATCACCCAGCAATAAAACTCATTTCCATGGTTTACATTGACTCAGGAAGAGGACTTTTCTCACCTTTCCTAGTGCCCACACAGTTCTCAGGATTCTCATTATGTAATGTATGCTACTTCCGAAGTAATGCTAGCTGTCTCAAGTGAATAAATAGGAAAGAAAATAGCAATTGTAGACTGCATTTTGTCAACATAGTGTTTAGGAGGAAACAAACATATGTTTGCATAGAGATAAAAACCTCTTGAATTCTAAAAAGTCAAGCAAGAAAAATTGCCTATTTCTTTGGTAAATCTTGTCAATTTTTAATCAGATTTAAAATTTATTAAAGAAAGACACGGATAAAAGCAAATTTTCTATCATTTATTAATTGTATTTAAAATCTACATTTATCTATTAAGGGGATTGTATAATGTTTCCACATTATGCTTTAAACAGTTACAAATATTTGGCATAAAATAATGTGCATATCAATGTAACAAGTTTGAAAAGTGAGAAATGAGAATCTGAAATCTGCCATCCTTCTCACAATGATCATTAATATTCCAACTGAAGGGATCATATACTTCTCTTTCAAAATTCTAAGTTTTTTTTTTTTTAATGAACAAAATTCTAAAGGACTTCAACATGCACTGGATATCTATATATATACATATATGACATTCAGAATAACTAGCTTCCATGCTTACACTGAACTCAACATAAGGCAAAAGCCCATAATTGTACTTAATGTTTGGCTCAGTGTGTTCAAAAAGCAAGCAATGTGGCAAGGCTAATGAAAACAATCCTTTGTGTTTGCCAGTTTGGGATTGCTAATTCAGTTGCAATAAAATCCAACCATCTTCTCTGATGATATATGCAGCTTCCATTAGCAGGACAGTTTGTTTTCTGAATGTAAGAGACACGCATGAATCTGTTTCTCTAATTGTCCTTGTAGTTTAGGAAAATGGGGAAGAAGCATATTTGTTTTAATAAAACATCCTTCTGCCTCCTCAAATGGCCACCTCTGATTAGCAAAATAGTAAACCAATCAGTCTGTCAGATGAAGTATCAGGCCTTTTTTTCTTGGCAAACTCTTGAACATTGCCACAGATTATAAAACAAGTGAACAAATTGTAGTCATGAAATTATCCATATCACAAATATCACTCCCTCCTTTTAATTGCTACAGAAAAGCAAGCCTTTGGTAACTCTGTTGTATGCTAAAAATACAAAACAAATTACCAATAACCATTCCTGAAGTAACTAACACATGGCCAGATATTGTTCCCATAGCAGTTGGACTTTTTCTTGATTCCTATAATTCTGTTTGTTCTTCTACCGCATTTGACATTAGTAGGTAAATCTGCAGAAATCCTTGTTCTTGAAGAGTTTTCATCTCAGGAAGTTCTTATTCTTGCCCTTCTGATATAAAAATAACCACTCCAAATAAAATCTCTCCAAATAAAAAGAAGTCAAGGTTGTTTGATGACTACCACACAGGCACCTGCTCTCCCAATGTTTAAGGAAGCCATCTGTTGAAAGATGAAACAAAATTTGAGGAAAAAAAATACTACTATAGAAAAAAATACACAAATTTCAACCTACAACACTGTGTGAAAATCATAGATAAATACACTTGTAGTTTTAGATTTTAATCAGAAGTAGTATAATAAAAATGCAAACAATGAAAATGCCATTTAAAAACAAGCAATGATGTGTATATTGACAAAGTGAAAACTGAATTTAGGGAATTTTTAATAAAAGTAATAAACTATTTAGTGCTAGATATTGAAATAAAGCTGCTATAGTTAAGTTCCAGCAAAGATTTATTGTTAAGTTTTCAGGGACACATTTGTGCTGATATTTCATAGTGATAGCAGCATGGAATAGTTATTGCACTTATTGAAATCATTTTGAATATATTTCCCCAGATATTATACTGAACCAATGTGTTATTCATTCATTCTAAACAGATACAAACAATGAAGTAACTCGATGTTTTGTCATAAATAGGCCATAATTACTATTGCAGTAGGACTTATTAAAAAGTCCACCTTATGACAGTGAAATGAGAACTGAGATTTAATAATCCTAAATATGAAATTGGCTGAAAATATATTAAAACAATAATTTTTAGAGAGTTTGTAATGAAAATTTATTCCATGGAGGTAAGTCAAGATTTTAATAATTTGAGCTTTTTGATATCCATGACTTACTACAGTTTTCTAAGAATAAGTTATACACATAAAAATATCAGGGTAGACTAGAATTACAGGGGGCTATTTTAAACTGAAAAGGTGAATAAAATGTAAGGAATAAAGTAAGAGCAACAAACCTCATATCACATATATTATCTCATTGAGAAAATGACATGGTCTCCTCTCTAAATGTGAAAATTGCCACCATTTTGTGCTAGTTCTTTTAAATGTACTTATTGCTACTGACCATCGCTTTGTGGTAAACAAAACAAAACAAAAAAACCTCATATGATGTATTTGTATTTCTTTTATTTAATATATTATTTTTGAAAAGCTTATTTAATAAAATCAATCTGGTCTAGCTCAAATGGTTATTGCTTAAAATGAGAAAAGGAAAGGGTCATGTGACAATATGTGTAGCCTATTGTGTGTTAAAGATGATTTTCATGTAACACCCCGTTTACCTTCTTAATCTCCACATTTGTATGTATCTCCACATAACAGGGATGAGAATGAAGTGTCGAGATACAACATGTAAATCCCATAACTTCAATGTATACAAACTGAAATGTACCCCACTCCTAAATGCATGCACTTTCACATTTTAGTTTCCAAGGATTTTCAACTACTGTCTCACTTGAGAGTCATCCAAGAAACTTATAATTTGCAATTTTTTTGATAGAAATGGAATAAGTTGTGTGTAAATATATTTTTTAAAAGTTTCCCAGATATAATATCTGATGTTCATTCAGTAGGGAGAAATACTCTGCGTAGTTTCTAGACAAATATATATATAGATCTACATCTCTATACATGGGCATACGTGTTTACAAAAATCAATGTCGGCATTATTTGCCAAAATTGTGCTATTGCTCCTGTTTTTTTTTTTTAAATGTAATTGAAGGATACCACTTACATAGTTGTTAAAACCAGAAACTTAAAAGCACAAGAATGACCCTTAGTTTTTCCTAACACAACTTACATCTGAAGAATCATCAAGTCTCTAAGATTTTTTTCAAAGTAAAGTATTATTTAATAACCCATTTTTATTATTTTTGACATTTATTCTATTATATTTTTATTTAAATATTTTATTTTATATTATTCTTACATCTTTTTTCATCTTTGCACAATGTATGCATTTTCATTTTGGTTATATTCCATATTAAATATTTTATTTTATATAATTCTTACATCTTTTTTCATCTTTGCACAATGTATGCATTTTCATTTTGGTTATATTCCCTATACAATTGCACCCCAACCAGGCACACAGGGGAATGCATAGCCGCATCGCCTTTTTAGAACAGGGATCTTTCTTCAATAAAGACTGCTTGTAACCGGCAGAAGACTCCTGGAGGAGCCAGAGGTGAGCTGGGAAGTTTGCCCATGCCAGGCCCCTTCTGGCCAGCAGTCTGAGCCCAGAGGGGGAGCGGGGAAAGGAAGGACTAGAGTCTCTAAGATTTTTTTAACGACCTTAATTAAGCTCTTTCCTCCTGTCTTCAACCTAGTGCAGGGCACAATTTTACCTCAGTGCATTAGTAAAATGTCCTCCTAATGGGTTTCTCTGAATTCAATCTTGCCTTCTCTTAACTCGTTTTCACACCCTATCAAGTGAAATTATTTTAAAACTGTTTTTATTATCTACTTTCTCTGCTAAAATTCTTCATGAAAGCACGTACACATGTTGAAGTGGATGCTGTTCTCCCCAAATTATATAGGTTTTTTAAAAGATTTATTTATGAATACAAGAACTGGGGTATAGGCCAGAGGTATGGGGGGGTGAGAGGATTCACCAGAGACAGAGTGACAAACAGAACAAGCAGACTGTCTGAAATACACTGCTGAGCAGTGGGCGAGGCAGGAGAGGTCTGCTGCGCCATGTGGGTAGCTCCCTGGGTGGGGATTGAACTGCAGAGGTTGAGGATCGCTTCACAGTGCTGTGCTTAATCCATTGTGCCACCAGGGAGGCCCAGACTTATATAGTTTTCTAAACAACTGGTAAATCAATAAAATTTGATTATAAAAAAGAAAAAAGGAAAATGACTAATTTTCCTAAGAAGAAAAAGGAAAATGACCAAAGATATAAGTAGCATTAAAAGTATCATTTTTTCTCAAGGGTTATTTGCTGATCCCTGTGGTCTATAGTTTAGTTTTTTTTTTTTTTAAGGTTTATTTATTTATTTATAAAAGCACAGTCAGAAGCAAGAGAGGGTGAGAGAATTCACCAGAGCCAGAGCACAGAACAGAGCAGGCAGAGGTATACACTGCTGAGGGGACCAGCAGGCGCAGAGAGGTCTGCCATGCCATGTGGGACCCTTGCCCGCGGCCGGGGATTAAACCAGCGCTGCAGAGGCTGCGGGCAGCTTTGCAGCCCAGTGCTCAACTGCTATGCCACCAGGGCAGGCCCTATAGTTTAGATTTTAATTAGACATGAGTTGGAGATACAAAAATATCCTTTATTAACTTCTCTCCAGTTTTATAATAAGGTCTAGGTTCTAGATAATGATTTCTGGTTCTTAGAAAATGATTTCTGGTTCTACATAAGATACATCCTGTTTATCTCTCCAAACTCATTGTCTATCACTTTATTTCTTGTCCAATGAAATATGCCAGGTGTTCTTTCTGAAGCTTTTCATAAATTTTGTTACTGAAACCAAACCATTTCCCATATTTTCATCTGGTTAACTATTACTCAATTATCAGACCTCATTATACATATTATTTCCTGAAGTAAGATTTCTCCCCCCACGATACTTAAGTTCTATTATAGTGTAGAGAACCCCCCTTATCACAGAATTCATAATGCTATAGTATTATTTTACTATATTACATATAAATACACTCTAAATAAGAAAGTTTTCAGTTTCCCTCCTTAGTGCAAATCTATCTATCTATCTATCTATCTATCTATCTATCTATCTATCTATCCTGCTCTCACTCCTTCTTTAGAATAGAACCTAAAATGATTGGACATAGAATTAATTAGGTAAAGGCCACTGAGAATGTATATATCTCACCAGGTCTTCCTGGAGCCGAGTCTCAATTTCCAATATATCAAATGTGTCTAATTAATTAAACCCACACACAATAGAGTAAAATAGTTTCCAACAGCTCTCAATTTATTTAATAAACTTCCATATCTCTTATCCCATACCAGCAACTAAGCTAGTCTTTGAAACATGACCCTAAATGGGACATTAACTGATTTTTTGTGTTGCTGGTGGATCCATCATGGCAATGAACATGTTAAAGAGTAATTTTGCCCAGGCAGGGAAAATGGAATAAAGTTCTTTTTTTTTTTTATATTTTGAAGCAAATATATTGTTTCCCCCCCAATCAAATGCAAAAAGTAAATCCATTGTTAGATGACAGGCAGGTTTATTTAAAACACACATTCGTACATGCATATAAGCAAACGTGTCCTCTGTAAAATAAAGCATGGAAGGCATTAGCCTGGCAACCAATCAATAATTTAGTCCCTTTATTTACAATTCCAACTAACTTGGAGATTTTTCCAAATATAATTTTTGGTTATTTAATATGGTTTGCTTGTTCTAATATTTAGCCTTTCGGAAGTACCAGTAATAAACAGGATAACTAATTTATTATTTCCACTGACAGGGTAAGTGGAGGGAAAGTGACAGGTTTTATCCAGCAAATATGAATATTTTTTTTTTCTGTGGCCTGAAATCATGGAAGTGTACAAAGGGATTTCATTGTGGACCTGAGAATGATCCCTAAAAAGTAATAAAAGTGTAAAGACTATGGAAAACTTATGGACACAAAATCTTCAAGTAACTTAAGGCTTTTAAAATTAATATTATTATAATAAGAAAAAGTTGTTAAAATATAAAATATTTTAAATGCCACTTTGCTTTTTATAAGCTACTACATGATCCAAAGGGTATAATAAAATGAGGATGAGGAAAAAATGGTCTTTAGGAGGCTTTTACCTATTATTACTACATACATTATTTTGATTTCAATTTTAGAGGAATGATAAACATAATGGCTCATTATTATAAATATGTAATGAAGTTAGTTTATTGCATCATTTATATGTCCATAAACTTTCTTTACTTAATGTTCATTTGTATAAGTGGCACGTTTAAAATATATACTATTGGACAGGTACATTTCCACAGCAATTCAACAATTGATCTACATAGTATAGCCTTTGGAAACACTAGGGACTCAGAAAAGTAAGGAGTTATAATATCCTCTAAATTTTTAGTGCAATAAGGAAAAGCAGTAATTAATAGCTGCTTTTATATTTGTTGCTTCTTGGATAAGGGATGCTAGCCTCATAATCATTGCAGAATATCACACGAGTTAGTCCTTCAAATATTTCACCTTCTTTCCTCCATTGTTCATTATGTCTCATTAGCCAACTTCATTTATTTTCATTGGACTCAAAGGGCTTTTCCTTAAGGAGGAGTTATACTCATAATATAGTTACCTAAGCCTGGCCAGTAGGAAATTGGTCTTGTATTTGTGCTTTAAAGAGTCACCTAAATATTGTGTCTGAACACATAACAAAAAAAAAAAAAAAAAAGGCATGATCAAAACTTTATGTACTTTAAAAGACAAATATCTGTAAAAGAAATTTACATCAGTGTTCAAGTTGTTCAGAGGAAAATTTTGTGAAAATAGAGCCTTGCACCCATAGAGGAATATAAAGAGATGAGTTTATTATTCTACTTCATCTAAACAAGATTTTACAAGTTCACTGCATGCATTGATGGGAACTATTTATTTATGTATTTATTTACTTTTAAGTCTCTTGGTTTAAGTCTTCTGATAAAGAAGGAAAATAATAGACATATGGAGGGATTTTGAAATGAGAAGTAAGAAGAAATTGAATTATTGGCACAAGTCTGAAAATATATCATGTCCTTTCATTATAAGCGGGAATATAGTAGCTATATAGCATAAGGTATTTTGCACTATAATTGAGTTGACCTGTCTTCATCTTTCCCCAGCATTCACAAACACCAACACGTATGCTTTAGAATGAGACCAGGATGGGAGCTGCTTTATTTTAACATGACTCTGCATCTCTAACTTCAATGTGTTTTCAAGGAGTAATACCTAACTGCAGATCAGCCAATGATTATATTCCATCTTCCTAGCCAAAGCTGTTCAGAAGTGAATAGTTTTTATATGAGAGTTCATTAGAGTCCTTTGATTTTTTTTAATTGAACATAATTCTTTTGTTCTCTATTTATGGCTGTGAAGATTGCTATTATGGAGTTTCCACAGCACCAACTTACGGAAAATTCTTTCCATGATGGGTAACAATGGACCTAATAAACACAGTCAAGTAAAATGGATAGCAGAAGGTAGCCTTTCATTTTCTTATTCCGGCTGTTGCTAAAACCAAATTCTAAAATTACAGTTTTGTGAAACAACATATTCAACTTTTTTTTGGCTCAATTAATTAAGATTCCATTCTTGTCCTTTGATCTGATTTATAATAAAGTGAAAATCCCATTGAGGCATGGATATCACTTTTTAATATAACAATATAATTTTATTAAAATAAGAATACAACAGAAAAGTACACAAAACAAGTGATTTAATGGACTCCTTACAAAATGAACAGTTAATAGATTAAATGAAACAGTTGTAAATTTAGATAGAGTATGTATATATACACATACTCTAGATAGAGTATACCACACACACACGTACACACACACACATACCTCTTTTCCAAAGGAAGTAAATAAATCTCCTAAATGTAGTAAATTTAATAAGCTATGCTGTTGCCAGTCTCACCTGTGTCCATTCATTAGTTTGTGGATCATAGGATTCCATAGTGTTGAGGTATGTCTGCCCATCATAGCCACCAACAGCATATAATCTGTCACCAAGGAGACAGACTCCAACAGCATCTCTTGGCATACTTAATGGAGCCACCATAGTCCATGTGTCTGTTTTGGGATCATATCTAAAAGGTAAGGATAGTGGAATATCACATGGTCTAATCACACTCAAGTTTAGTTAAACAAATGATACGCTTTCAAAATATGCCATGCTAAAGAAATTAAACTTTTTCTAGAAGTACATCAGTTTTAGAACTAGTAGCCACAATATCTGGTTTCTAAACCATAAGTAATTTTAAAAATATACCTACCTTTTACTTAGAAGAACAGTTATTTAATAAAAATTAATGTCATAATCTTTCCATGAAGTAGTCAGAAATGTAAGTAAATATTTTCCATAGTAAAAGGAGAATATTTTTTAACGCCTCTTGTATATAGTTTTCTCAGTGAAGCTTTAAAAATTGCTTAAACATTCGGTTGATTATTGTCAATCAACTGAATAGGGAGCATATGCAGGAGTCCTAAATTTTAGTTAAAACTCATTTTTAAAACAAATATATTTTACAAATACTAGATGGGATCACTAGTATGAGGAATATAAAGTAACTAAACTAATTGTCCAATAAAGGTATGGGGGAATATAAAAATAAAATTTATTATTTAAAAAAAATAAAATAAAAACTAACCCTTGATAGCTGACTACAGAATTGAAGCACCAAGTGGTAGAGGGAATGGGGCAGGGGTAAGAACAAAGAGGGGACAAAGAACAAAGGTCTGTGGTGGTGGAATATGGGTGAGTTGGTGGTGGCTGGATTATGGTAGTAATATCTGATGGGGGCAGCCCAATATTACCTCAGTTAAAAATAAATAAATAAATATTGTAAAAGTCCTTGAAAATAAAATAAAATATAAAATATATGAAAAGGCAAATGAATAATATTTTAACAATTTTAAACTAAGAACAGATTATGTAATCACTTTCTCTACTAAGAGAAGGCTATACTGAATATTTTTAAGTATGCTCAAATTGAAAATGGAAGTGACATAATTCCTTCTATGTAGACCATCTTATACTCAATAATGCATGGATATTTACCTTTCCTCTTCCTTCAAATAATGCTGCCAAATTACCATGATTATGCCAGCATTCTAGCCAGAATACCCATAGACAACAGATCATTTCATCACTTCCTGTGCCAACTGACCTTTTCAAAGATGTCCATTTGCCATATAAGTCACTGAGGCAAAATCTAATCTCATATAAATTAACATAACTGTGTTGTCAGTTAATTATTTTTACATCTATTTAAAAAGCAGGACCCCTATATAGGTGGGCTGTCATAGAATATTTTGTATATATGTTTACTAGAAAGTTGAATATAATTTGATATCAATAACAAAGATGTACAATGCATAACTATAAGAAAAAATACCAGCAACCCCCTAGTTAGTCTTTTCATGCTACATTCATTCGGATAACTCCAAAAGTAAGATCTTAAAGAAAAGAAAGAAATACTAAAAAATGTGAAAGGTCTAACTAACGTGTTAACTTTAAACAATTCAAGTAATTTCTGTTTTGCAAAAAGCTTAGGATGTTGCACATGTCAAAATATGAGTTAATATGCTACATAGTTCTAGGATGAGCATCCATCATTTAAATTAAAGTGTTTCTCCATCACTCCTCTTCACTGTTTAAATATTTTACTATTCTTGGTGTATATGTAAACTGAAAAAGATAAAATGAGAAATCAATAGAAATGAAAGAATACAAAATACCAATCTTAATTTGAACACAATTTTATATTTAGGATAATTTTATATTTATTACATGTAATCCATTGTGCACATTATATTTATTTCATTGACTCCATTGTACTTTTATGTAAAAAACAGTGACATTCGGTTGTCAGTAGTATTTGAAATATATGACATAAGGATATAATTTTCAACTAATATATGAACAGTTCCTTAATATTTAAACCACATCAAAATTTTCAGTGTATTGAATATATATCTAAAATATTGGTAAATAGGGCCTCCCCAGTGGAACAGTGAGTTGAGCACCACACTATGAAGCTGTCCGCAGCCTCTGCAGTGAAGGTTCGCGTCTCAGCAGGCCAGGGAGATAACCACATGGTGCAGCAGACCTCTCCTGCCTCACTCGTTGCTCCCCTCAGCAGTGTCTTTGGCCCGTATGCCTGTTCTGCTCCCTGCTCTGTCTCTGGTGAATTCTTTCACCATCCCACACCTCTGGCCTGTACCCCAGTTCTTGTATAAAGAAATTCATCTTTAAAAAAAACACTAAAAAATAACAAAATATAGGTAAATAGGAACACGTAACAGAAATAGAAAATACAGTAAACAGAAATAGCAAATGAGAATGGCACTATATATCTTTCAATAATTTCATCGAAAAATCAATCCATTTCTCTGTAAGTCATCTATCCATCCATTCATCTATCCATCCATTCATTCATCCATCCATCTGTATATTTATGCTTTCATCTATCAGTCTGTCTGTCTGTCTGTCTAACTGGCTGCCTGCCTATATCTACCTACTTATATATCTATATACTACCAATAAATAGTGTATCTCAAAATATTTTTCCTTGTGAGAAATTTTAGACCTGTTTTTCTTTGTGTCTGACTGATTCAATAATATCTTGTTGAGTGCTTAAGGTGGGCCAGGATTTGTACCAAATGGAAGAATATAGGTTTAGAGAACATAACATTGGTTGCTATCATATATAACCTTGTTTAGTGGGAAAAAAATGATGTATAAAGCAGTTAATTCATTGATACATTAATAATTGGTTAAAAGAAAAACTCCATTGTGCTTCAGGACAGATAGGCATTATGAAAAGATCCCTCTGGCTTCTATAAAAAAAATGAAGGAGGCAAAAGTGGTTACTATTAAAGGTTAATTTAGGAGATTTGTATTAATTGACATCCCTCTATTACCAAGACGCATTACTGGGATGCAGTTTGAGAGGAAAAGCAGTCCTGATCTGTCTTTACTCAGTAGCCATACTGAAGCCTTTGAACATATTTTTATAATGCATTGCCTAGAATAGTTTTGTCTGTGATCTTAAAGTTATAATTAATTATTTCCTTGTCTCCTTCTTCCAATACATTTTAAGTCTATATTTCACAGTGAAAAATAAACGGAAAATGTTTACTGACTATATAAATGGATATATAGATATGTATATATATAATTGTATAAATATGCTTTATTTAATGAATTATATATTCTGAGCCTAAATTCTGCAGAACTTACTGCATTTTTGGGAATAGATTTTGTTCACTAAATTTCTTACACTAGAGTGAGGCTGGGTGACACAATTAATTTTCACTGCTCCAATAACTATTGCAAACTTTCTGCTCTCACTGAGTCCCTGTCTTCTTTCCTGATCTGATTTGAGGTGTCAATGTTCTTTATGTTTAAAATAGCCTGACCATTTATAACTTTGATAAATATTATGTAACTCTGCTTTAGTATGTAATTGCATTTCCATGAGAAGTCATTGTCATCTAACAAAATTTGTTTTATGTGTCATCTATCTATGTATCTTTGACACATCACATTGTATACTACATCTTGCTATTCCCAAGAATTTGTTTACCTCTGATTATATACTATAAAAACCATTTATTACATGCAAAAACATCTATAGAAGTACAATTATTTATCGTTATTGATGATTTACATGTAAAAACATCAATAGATAATATGTGTAATAAAAAGTGTAAAAATGCTATTAATCTGACATGTTGGGTGAACTTGGATAAGAATCATGATTATGCTGTGTGCTTCTGCATTCCTTAAGCTGCTAATACCAACAACACTCATATCTAAAATAGCTATGTTTATTTAAATCTAATTTTGCATCATAAATGTATTCCTAGACTGGGTTATTTATGTCTGTTCACAAACATTTCAATAGCTGATATAGTAATGTTAGAAGAGAATATGTGTTTGAAATATCATTTCATTAGTAGTGTTTACATATAAGATAGTCATGGTAAAAGTTACATCCTCATCATATTCATTTTTTGGCTGTAATTTTCCCTCAAAAAATAATTAGCAAAGGAAAGGTGAAGGTTCACTCAGTCTATTAGTAGTATTTTTAAGATAAATAATTGCATGTTTGCATGTATAAAAGTGTATCTTTATTTCTTTGGACACTGACCACTGTCCTCAAAGTAACAATTTAATTTTAATTCCATTGGATAAGAAAATGTGGAAGCAGTGAGTATAATACCCTGCTTTATACTTATGTAACTATAAATCTATAGTCCATTTTACAGAGTAGCAGTATCATTAAACATTTCTGTATTTTACATAAACCACATAAAAGGTTTATATATATATAAAAAACACTCTTTTGAGATATATATGTGTGTGTATATATATATATATATATATATATAGAGAGAGAGAGAGAGAGAGAGAGAGAGAGTCTGTTCACTAAGGAGACTACTCTTTTTCCGGTGGTCTTATTCTCGATAAAAATACTTACCTTTAGAGCATCTTTCTCCCACTGAATATACCACTTAAAAGCATGAGTATGAAGCACTCAGTTTCTTAACATTAGGAGGAAGATTATGATTATCAGTATGATACCTCAAATATGTCTCATTCATCTCTGTGGTTCAAGTTAGGATACTGCCCTTCTATGTACCACAAGTTTTCTGTGACTGTTTTGCCATCAAAGTTTAAATAAAAGTGAATTATTTTATTTGCAGGTGGAATCTTTAACAAGTGAACAATTTAGTAAATACTCTGATTTTTCCCTTCTGGCATGGGAATCATCAGTACTATTACAACTTATATGCCCTTCTGGGTATTGGTACTAGGGCAGTAATATTAAGGAACTTTTGTGAACCTGTAGCATGAGAAATGCCATAAAATAAAAAAGTCACTAAGCATTTGAAGTTATTTGTTACAGTAAAATTACTTATCCTATCACAGTTGATACAACAATTAACCTCTGTGTTCCCTATTATCACTGCCTCATATATTAGCATGTATTCTTAGTAATAGGACACAACATCATATGCTACATTAATTCTCTAATACTTGCTGCTTCAGGGTAGTAGCTTTGAGTGGTACACATCCACTAGAAAGAACTTTCTATAAACACACCAGGAGGGCTGCCCCTGGTGGCTCAGCGGTTGAGCGCTGGACTGTGAAGCTGCCCGCAGCCTCTGCAGTGCTGGTTCGATCCCCGGCCACCGGGTGAGGGTCCCACATGGCGCGCAGACCTCTCCTGCCGCCCGCTGCTCCCCTCAGCAGTGTACTTCGGTCCTTCTGCTGTTCTGCTCCCTGCTCTTGGCTCTACTGAATTCTCTTACTCTCCTGTGCTTCTGACTGTACCCAGTGCTTGTATAAATAAATAAATAAATCTTAAAAAATATATATAAACACACCAGGAGTTGTCTGGGTTGGCAGACGAACCTGAAGCTAAAGCTCTTTTCTTTGCCAGTCTCTGTGGAATGGCCACTTTTAGGAAAAGTTGAAAGAGGACTGATGTAACCCCCATTCCTTGGAATTATAGAAAATATAATTCTCGTAGGCCTATCATGCATTAATAAAAGTGTAACATAAAACAAGGAGGTTCATAATTCACTTTGAGAGACTGAAGGAACTAGTAGAACAAATAGAATGGGATGAATAGAACAAATAAAATCCAATTTTATAAAAAAAAACTAAATATTTATAAATGCAATAAATTACATAAATTTTATTTTATTTTATTTTTAAGATTATTTATTTTTATACAAGAGCTGGGGTATAGACCATATGCGCGGGAGGGTGAGAGAATTCACCAGAGGCAGAGCAGGGTGCAGAACAGGCAGAATGACAAAATACACTGCTGAGAGGAGCAGCAGGCGAGACAGGAGAGGTCTACCAGCCATGTGGGACCCTCGCCAGCCGGCCGGGATCGAACCCACGCTGCAGAGGCTGCGGACAGCTTCACAGCTCTGTGTTCAACCCACTGCACCACTGGGGAGGCCCCATAAATTTTATTTTAAATGACATATTTGCTAAGGAGAAAAGTAAGGATCTTGTGAATATTTGAGCATCTCATGAAAAATATGGGACTTTAGATAAATATTAGTGATAGAAAGAAATGAGATAGGAAAGAGGAGGGAGAAGGGGAAGTCAGGGGAAGGGAAACGAAGAAAAGAAATGGGAAGGGAGGGAGAAAGGAGAAAGGAAAAATAAAACATCAATGAATGAAAATGTGAGCGTGTGCACACTTGTGTGTGCACATGTGTGTGAGAGAGACAGAGATAGAGAGACAGAGAGACATTGAGAACTATTAAAGCAGCTCTAAGAGTTGACTTTGACTTTCATCAATGCAATTCACATTGTTTCTTTCACTTGTCACTGCCCCTGGGGTCTTACCTTTCTACATAATCCAGTAGCCTGGAACAGTGATTTGAAGCAGGTGCATCATGCCCTCCTACTGCATAAAGAAAACCATCGCATGTGGCCACTCCCACACCCCCTCTCCTCTTACACATAGGAGCGCACATGTTCCACTTATTCGTATGAGGATCATAATATTCCATTGAACTCAAACAGGAACTTCCATCTCGACCTCCAACTGAATATAACCTGAAAACACAATTGGAAAACCATGATTTAATATTTATATTCTGGATGACAAAATACAATAAAGTAAAAGTTTAAAAAAAAAACAAGCTTTCAACCATCATGTGAATCTTTAAAATGTCCAAATGCATTACTTCACAAACATTTTGTGAAAGGTACTCTATAAAAGATTAAACATGCCTGGGATATCTATGATTCCAGGGTTACAGATGAAATTACAACAACTTTAATGTTCTTCCATATATTATTTCTAAAGTTTCAGTTTATTTCAATTACTTCTTGCATCAAACATTGTCTTGCTGTATTATTTAATAAATATAGAGGAATGTGTTACAAACATGGGAAAAGTGGTGCAACAATGTTGGACTGATTGAAATTGCTGAAACTTCACTTATTTTGTTATAATTATTCCGGTAATGATAAGTATAATTGGAATCCAGGAAAAGAAGTATTGTAGCAAAAATGGCATTTGAATGTAGAAATGCATTATTCCTAATAACATAATTATTGTCTATTTGATCACAATCAAAAGACTTAATCATAGTAAGATAAAGAGTTGCATTTATTTATTTACAATTTGTCCAAAACTTATTTTTAATGCCTGAAATATGCTTCACACTATCCAAAATGTTGTTAATATATCCATGAGCAAAATTCTTGTGCTCTGTTCTATTTGGGTAGGTGTAGACATAGCCTACACATAAACACAAATATTATATATACTACGTTAGAAGGTGATGCAGGTAGTAAACATAGATAAAAGCATGGAAGAGAGATCAAAACTCAAATGCTGTGAGTGGTGGTTGTCATTGCAATTTTAAGTATATGTTCTGAAAAAGTCTTGCTAAAAGGTAATATTTGCACAAAAGTTTGAAGAAATTGGTAGTGATTGAAAGAGAGTTAGGAATATCCAGTGGGGAAAGATTTGAGGCAGACTGAATAGGTGAGTACACAATTCCTAGAGCAGCAAGGAAGACAGGGTGGCTGGAGCAGAGAAAGAGGGCATGTGGCAAAGTAAGACATGGGGTGTGAGGTGGACCTCACACAAGAGTTTGTGGATGTTTATTCTGAGCAAAACATGGGACCAGAAGACAAATTTGAGTAGATGACTGATGTGATTTGCTCATGTTTTAATAAGATTAGATGTTGTGGAATTTTTGCTTTATTAGAGGAGATGACGCTTCATGTATTAGTAAATAGATTTAATTCTGTACTCTTCGGTTTCCACATAAATGCACAGGAAGGCATTATTAGCTAGCATATAAAATCATTTGGGTCATAGATTTATAAATTTATCCTCTTATGTCCTTTAATAACTCTAAAATATGATGCTTAAACTAATTTTGTATCCTGGAGACATTGTTTTAAAGTTGCTTATTTCTCTTCATGCCTGCCGTGATAAAATGTTTCTGATTACCCAAGTGTTCCCTTTGTGGATGTAATACTTTTCTGCTTGATTACTCACAAGTTGTCTGTCAGTTCTCAATCTTGCAATATGTTGAAAAATCACCAATAGGAGCATTTTGAAGAACAAGTATTAGACAATTAAGCTTGCAAAAGCACCCAGAAGTGAAATAATTACTCACTCAAAAATTGTTATCATCCTAAACACTTCATGAAATCTGAACATTTATTTCTGTTTCATTTAGATTGAAGATCTAATTCAAGTGAAGTGTGGCATAATCTTCAGAAATTATTAAAATTTAACTATTTTTTGCAAAGATTTGTTGTTAGGTAAATATCTTCACAGGAAGCACCTAGCACAGTCCCTGAGAATAGCTTATATTTAAAAAAGGCACCTTCATCTTTATTTTTATTATTTTAAAGGAATTATTGATTTCAAGCTGCTCTCTTCATTCATGTCACACTGACAAATTAAAATTATGCTATTAATTTGTCTGATTAGTGCTTGCAATAAAACATTTCATGCAATAATGCATATATTTTCTTTTTTTTAAATTATTAAAGAATGTGTACATAAACAAACATATATTTAACTGTGTTTTTAAAAGATGATTAAGCATACTGCTTACATTTAATGTCAAATACTGATCCTATTAACATTTTATATTATAAAATAAGATGTTCCTGCAAGGTTCACAATTTACAACATCCTTAACTTATTTAATATAATTACATGTATTATAAACCACTATGCAGTCATTTTCTTCAATGTAAACCCTACTTTAATAAATCCTAGTAACAAGAAGATTTATATGAGAAAAAACTTTATAGGATGCCTCACTAAAAATATTACATAATATTTGACAGTACCTTTTGTAAAATATTTGGCATAAATTAAAGTCTAAGCTATATTATCAGTGGTTCTTTCATTTTAATGTCCTTCTAACATTATATAATATGCATATTAATAATGAAATCAATATAGTTTTAGAAATATAAATTCTTAATATGGGATAAACTATTGGAAAGAGTATATACACTGAATTTTCCCTCAAGAATAAGCCTTAAAAAAGAAATGGGAAAATTGTAATTTGTGTAAAAGATAATAGTGTACTTTCACACTGCTATTCAGACCCATTATTAAAACCAATAGATGTATTTGAATACTTAAAAAATTGTTGAAAAATTTGTATTTGAAATAAATGTTATCAATCAACATTATAATCTACTTATTTTGAAATATAAATTTTCCGTGACTGAGAACTAGAATGTAAAAATAAATAACAACAATAACTATTACTATAATACGTGTTAACATTATAAAAATAGCCAAAGGATAGAAACAATATAAACTTAGAGTTAGAATAAATGAACAATGTACACACAGAACTTGGGGACATTTACAAAACGGTGTCAACTCAGATCTCACTTCATAATCTCTTGAATCACAGGTTAGACTAATTCCCTTTGTTTTACTACCATGACAAATTAGTTGTTGAGAATCTGAAGAGAAGAGAAGAATCTAGTGCTAGAAGTATATGCACTGACAGCATAGGCAGTGACAGCTGTCAGTTTCACATCGTGAAAGGAAACATGACTTTTATCTTAGTGATGGAAGATGAGTAGAAATGTTTAAGAAGATAAAATATGAGGAAAGCATTACATACCAGGACGGTATTATGTGTAAAGACAAGGCACATGAAAGGTCATAGTAGGTGATAAATAAAAGGTGGCAGGTATGTCATATTGCTGAGTGGGATGAAGGAGGGGAGAGATGAAGCAGGTGGGGAAAAAAAAATAGACTAAAAATGAAGGGGTTATATGTCATGCTATGGAGTTGGGATTTCATTCTGAGGCAATGAGAGAAGGAGAGAAATATAACATTCTTAGGGATCATCAGGTTCATATTCAGTAGCTATGAACATTAACCTGTATATCCTTGTACACAGACAACTAGCATTCTGTTAGGGACTTGCTCTAGATTAAATGGCCATTTAGGCAGAAAGATGAGTATGTGAAAAGGGAAGAGAGTATGAAAAGTATGGAGTTGTTCAGGAAATCTGAGCAATTCAGTATGTCTGAAACAAATGTGACTGGAAGCAGGTGCTAAGAGTGAAAATGAAAAGGAGAGGAGATCTAAATCACATAAGCCACTGCATTCCAGACTGAGGAGTATGCCAGTGGTTATGCTCAGAGAGCTAAAATCAATTGTCTGCTAATGCTACAGGTTTTAATTCTTAGACATGCTTTATCAAGTAATACTTTCAAATACATTAGAATACATCTGAACTAGTCTACCTTTGTGATGGGATTCCAAAAATTTTATAGTTTCCTTCAACAGTCAGCCAAAGTGATATTCACAGAAGTGACATGCAACCATGCCCCCTTTGAGACTTTTACAGTCCTGTTACCTTAGCCAAGTTGCTTTATGACCTGGATCCTGCCTTCCTATCCAATCTTTAATGGCTGTTCTTTCTCATTAAGTTCTAGTCAAACTTTACTTTTCCTCCTTTTGTTCGCATTTCACCTTCAGAGACTTGACTCAAATTACTCTTTCTTATTACAAAACTCTCTCAATTTTTGGAAATCTGCTAAATCAATCAGATGCCAGATTAGAATTTTTTTTTTCCAAAAGTCAAACTACAAACCTCCTGAGCCATTAGTAGTTCTGAGTGAGACCCAACAAATAAACAATTTATTTTTCATTTTAATGTTTGAATCTAAAGCAATTCAATTTTAATATAAATCACATATCATATAAAGCATAGGCAATTTGGGTTCCATCTTTAAGAAGAAAAATACCAATGGATGGATAAGAATAGAAACGATATTGGAAGGCACCATGCAAGTACTGAGTTTTGAGGCTTCAGGTGCTGTGTGTGCCAGATATGGGAACACAGAAGCAGAGCCAGAGACTCCTGCTCTTGTGGTACTTTTAGCAATATGAGGCAAAGGTTGCAAAGAAATTACAATTGACCCATGAATATTTTTAACATGAATGAATGTGTGAATCAGTTTTTCCACATTGAATCATGAACCAAACTGCTGTTTTTTGTCAATGTTGCAGTTTCTCTAGGTCTCATATCAAGCATTTACTAAAATTATGGATGTGCTCAAGCCATATGAATATGTCTGCTTTTGTAAGTTACTCAGGAAATAAAAGAGGAAAAACCTTTTAGCTATAAAGTTTGAAAGAACCTAGATAAGGTAGAAAACAAGGAAGAAGGAAACATAATCACTGGTATAGGTATTATTTGGGGATTTTATATGGCAATCACTGCACCATAATGTCTATTCTCTGTTTTCTTGCAATCCTTTTATCCTCCGAGGAAGCTTCCTGTGGCTATGCTGGTTTAAGATAACATAACTACCAGTTAGTTTAATCTGTCTTATTGTCAAAATGTTTCATGAAATTGAAATGATTTCGCTCTCAAAGCCATCAATATACATGCATTAATTTAAAACCATAACATAATGTCTATTTTTCCACATTAAATAGTATCATGAGTAACTTAAACTCAAGAGGGCTATTCACTGACTTTCATTAGTCTTGAGGAAATTATAATACACAGGGAAGCAACAGTCAGGCTAGAATGACACTTTGGTGAGATGTGGAAATAAAACAAGAGAAAAAGTCACATCAGGAGAGGTGAGATTAAAGTAAACAACTGTCAGAGGGTGATGTTGAAACAATTTTCTACTTTGAGTCTGAAGTGAAAGGTCACTTGCTACTTATTATGTTTCTGCCTGAGTAAAACAAGAAAAGCAACTAGACACTAATAGTCATGAAACCACAGAATTTTGAGGCCATTAAAACATACTAAAGAGCGGGGTAATGGCATCTAAATGATAGCTGTACTATTTTGATTTGAGAGACATTTTATTTGAAGATAAAATGAAATAATAACATTTTCTTAAAATAGGATTAAAACATAGGAAAACTAACATCAATACATCAATTTAGTAAAATGATTATTATAAAAATACAGTCTTCTCTGGAGTACTATAAATGCATAATTATTAATATATGCATGCATGTGTAATAATATATATATATATTTGTAATTATTGAAATATATATATATAAAATGTGCAAATACATAATAAATCTGAACATCCTTAGAAAGAAATCACTAAATATATGTCCGACTAATAAAATACATTGAGATGAATTTTAAGAGATAAATGTATGTTCATATTCTCAGATGGAAATATTTTAAGTGTAACAGTCTATCATTTTTCCTCTCATTAAGCTGTAAATATTTATTTTCAGGCAAAATCCTAAAGGAATTTTGGAAAGTGTATATGACACTAAGAGTGCAATTTTAAGCCTAAAATAATTCTGAATAAAATCTGAAGATGCCTAAGCTGGGGGAAATATAAATAAAACTAGATTGATAAAAATCATAAAAATGGAATTTGTGAGTCAATTAAAAGAATTATGGATACAATATGTTAATGTTGATAAAAGTAGAAAATATTGCTGTATATTACGTAACAATAGAAATAGTGGCAAATACCTACTCAACTTTAATCTCACTACTAGTAAAAAATTTGCACCAAAATAAAATGTTTTTTGAAACAAATTGTTGAGGTAGTAAGAAATGATAAGACAATGTATCAAAATAATTGAAAAAAGCAATGCAAGACAATGTCATTGAGAAAGTTTTTGATAAATACTACTATGAAAAGGATTAAATTATTTTATCCATGAAAATAATTCAGTCCCAATTCTCCTACAAATTACTTTGTAGAAATTCCTTGCAAGGAAGCAATCAGTAATTTGCCAAAAAGTTTACATATCACGATGTTCATTGTGGCTTTGTTTATGTATCAAACTTGGGGAAATATTATATATATGCATATGTAAATATTATATATGCATATGTAAATGTCACATATATTTTAGATAATTTATATATAATATTTATTAGCATCTTTAAATTTAAACATTTAGAGACTAATTATTTACATTTAAAGGCATTTTTTTTTCAGAGTGGATAACTGTATAACCTCTAGCATATGAATTTATAGAGATTTTAATTAAATTGAAAATAATTTTAAGATTATTTTAAAATAATGTGCAATAATAACTAAAAATATACATATGCCTATTTAGGAGAAAATAGGTTATTAAAAATAGAACATCAAAATCTACTCAGTAGGTATAGGGAATATGTATTATACCCAGGGATATAGCAATAAATAATGCAGACAAAATCTCAACATTTATTGAATGTATATGTTAGTTAAAAAAAGATAGAAAACATTAATATGTAACTAATTTCAAGGAAGTGTATAATTTCAAAAACAGTAAGTAAATAATTTAGGATGATGTTCATGGAATATTTTTAATAGGGTTAATAATAAAAAAATCTATGTGGCCATATTTAGAGATGAACTCAATAATGATATGGGTCAGGCACATGAGGATAAACAGAAACAGTTTCTGACAAAGAGCAAATTTAAAGGGACTGAGTTGTGATAGAGATTGCATATTTCAGACAGAGATAAAAGGGCAATGTGACTGATTGGAATAGGCAGGGACAAGATCCAGTGGGTTCCTGAAGGTAAAGTTATGCATTATATTCTAATTGCATACAGAAATCCTGGAAGAGGACTGATGCATTACTTGCATTTGTAAAAGGACTGCTCTAGCTGATTTAGCAAATGGACTATAGGGGAAAGGGAGCTTTGAATATCAGATTGAAAGATTTTACAATATATTCAGGGCTCAAGGTGTTAATATGGTTGAGAGAAGGGTTTCTCATGAACATGAGTACAAGGCGTATTTTTCCCTTTCTGGAGGATATTAGGCAATGTCTAGAGAATATTTTGACTATCACACTGGAGTGCGCATATGTAGAGTTAGCCTCTAGTGGTTACAAACCCTTGATGCTGCTTAACCCTTGATGCTGCTTCTATACAACACAAAGAGAGTCCTAAGTCCAACAAATATTAACTGGCTCAAAATTTCAACATTGTTGAGGTTGAGAATTCCTGATTAGTGTAATAGGAATGTATACAGAGGCAAATGGAGAGACTAATATAATCATAAAAACAAAACAAAACAAAAAACTTGAGCAACAAACTTGTAGTAATTTTTGAAGAGTCTGCAGACTAATTTATCAAAAAGAGTAAAGATATATTGATCCTTAGTGCATATAAGTCTCATGAAATAAAACTGATACTTCTTTAGTAGTAAAGAATGTAGGGAAGTTTTGGTTTCTGTCATATAGAGAGACAATCAGAAAATCATGAAATCTTGATTGGGCAATTATACTTGAAGATATATATTGTTTTAAATATCAAAAATAATGATTTTAAAGGATTTGAGCAAAGTAGCTTACTAATAGTTATTTCAACATGAATATACATTCAGCTATTTTTCAAAATAAAAAAAGAAAATCTACTCACTTGCCATTCAGCGCTGCTACACCAACAGTGCTCCGGGCAATGGACATACTGGCTACAAAGGTCCACTGCTGACTCTGGGGATCCCACCTCTCTACTGTATTCAGGTAGCTCCAGCCATCATGGCCTCCTACGGCATAAATGGGCCCTTCCAGTACTGTTACACCTAAAACAATGAAGAAGTGAAATTGAATTAAATTTTTCACATTGAGATTTTAAAAATCAAAATAACAGGAAAAGCTGTGATGCCATTCGGTATCAGCTCCACCTATTAAGAAACAATTGCAGAGAAGTAGAAATGATTCACTATTAATTTAATCATTTTATTCAAGCAAAACAAGTTTAGAGCCAAATATTGTGACCTAGATGCTTGATAAAATAAAACTAATTTCTTTATTTATGTCCATATGAAGAAGCAAATTCTAAATTCACATACATATTTTAATCTAATTTTGAAGAATTTTTCTACAGTGTGTAAAGTACTTTGCTACTTTAACAATGTTGTATCAAGCCAACATAGTATTATAAGTTTGAATTTCAGTGTAGAATTTACTGTCCTTTGACTTCCCAATAATTACATAAGAAAAATATTTAAAGCTTAGAAACTGTAGTATCTTTCATAATATTATTAAACGCAAGCAATAAGAAAAAATCAATAGTGAGTAATCAATGGGAAAATATGTACAACTTCTTTATACTGCTTTCCCAGTAAATTCATTTCTTCATATATGGATTTTTTAAAATGCTACATAGTTGATGAATATTTAAATATGTTAATATTGGCTCAAATAATCTCATTATCTGTAGAGAAATTCTGATGAATTCCTCCCACCAAAGTTCAAAACTCAATATCTGATTGCCCGGTTGTTAGACTGCCACAAATATATATTGCTAGAAGACATAAGACTCCTTATCTAAGAGAAAAGATAGTTATTTCTTACAGAAATAGCAACAGTCAAGAGTATCTCTGTTAAAAGATATTTCATTTTGCTGATTCAGCAAGCCTCAATTCCCACAGAGTGACTCTAAGAATTAATTATTCATATAGTTCCACAAAGATTCTTTTGGTCCTAGCATGCTGATTTTTGACTTATATTGTCATTAAACTCATCTCCCCTTAATGTAATAAATTATTTTCTTTGGAAATAAATGTTAATATTTTTCTATGTGGTCTATCCATACATTTTTCATTTTCTTTCCCCAATATTGCGTTATTGGTTATATATTTTTATAGCCGGATATCCTCTATTTTGCAACAAAAGCTCCCTTAGACTAAAAATTTGGAATAAGTGGAATTAAATTTAAATCGCCCTTTGTTCTCTCTTGCCTCCTACTCTCTCCTATGATTTACCAGTAATTTGCTCCAAGTAAATTCCTGGGAACTGGAAAAAATCACATTCCATTCTTAATAAAATCCCCTGTTTTTTTTTTTTTTTTTTTTTTTGAGATTGTTAGTGACATCAGAAACAAAATCTGCTGAGAGCTGTCCTGCGGAAACATTCCCTGCTGAGAATATCAAACCATTGTAACTCATGATGCTTAGACTGTCCAGCACCTCCTCAAACCTGGGAATGCAAAGCTTCCCCATCCTTGTTCCCATCACATTCCATACCCCTCTTCCTTCTCTCCTTATAAAATCACAGCACACCCATCTTTTAGGGTGCCAGGGTTTATTGAGTACCTATCACACTGACTCCCTTTATGCCTTCCTCACATAATAGGCTCCTTTGTGCATAGATATTCTCATGGATCAGAGTCTGACTAAGAGAAAGAATGACTGGTTTAATAATTTACATTTGCATTATTATTTTTGCCTTGTCTTCTGTTTCAATCTGTTGGAATAACACAAATGAATTAGTTTGTTGAACAGGTGATCAGATTATCAAATAAGGCTGATAGGAATAAGCAATTTTTGCACATGACTGAGATTTAAAATAATCTCAACAATACAATGGATCCTGAAACATATATGAAACAAGGAGATGCCCAGACTTTTCCTTCCAGGAAGTTTCTCCCTTTCAAGTCTTGATCCCTCAAGTGTGGGATTCCAAGGTAGTCCTGATATCTAATTTCTGCCTTGATAACTTAGACACTATAATCATTCCTAGTTCCCAGATTCTGCTTTACCTATTTAGCCCTGTGATACAACTACCTGGAGATAGCAGAAGTAACTCTTGAGTTTATCTTAAGAATTTTCCCTTTGCTATCTTTTTGCTTAATTGCTGGCTGCCTTGATTTTTTTTCTGATACCTTCAAGAATTTGAATTACATATTTCACTCAGATTCCATAATTTATATGTTAGGAAGTTTACTCAGATACTGGATATACTTTCAAGACCAGAAATTAAATTTACATATGACTTCTAACATTATTATTAATGCAAAAGTTTAATAAATATAATCAAATGTATTAATCTATCATTAAGGCTTTGCTTTTGCTTTCTATATATGGCTTAAGATTTGCCGCTAGCCCTACCATTTATATAAGTTTCTTAATCTCTTATCTTGCAATTTCCTCAACACTAATATGAGAATTATAGTAATAATCACATGGTTTTATGATGAAGATTATAAGAATTAAAGTAGATAAAGCACTAACAGCAAAATCTGATACATTACAGCCACTCCATTTTTGAAGCTACTGTGATGCCTGTTATTATCTTCCTACTCAAATCTTAGGGAGGATATAAAGGGAAATTCATAGAAGAGGGTGTATAAAGAAGCTGTAGCACATAAAAATGCTTGGCATATGTGGTGAACAAAAAATCAGGATATAGAAATAGATTTCTTTGTGGGAAAGTATTGACAACCACACTTTACTTTTTTCAAGTTAAAACTATTTCAATATCTGTGTTAAGATTACTGGAAATTTAGGATTCCTGGAATTATAAATAAGGAATGTCACTTTGGAGAGAAATTGTAACAATGCTCAGCGTAAACATTATGATATACCTTTAACAAATATTTGAAACATTTTATAATTAAAAACTAATTTTTATGGAAACAAACTATAACTAAGGTACACATATTCTAAAAATAAGTCAAAAAATCAAAAAAAACATTATCTTTCAACATAAGTATTCATTTACTATAAAAGTTATTAAAAGTTTTCCAATTCTGCTGCTGGAGATAAAATAGTCTATATTCTAATGGGGAATACAGATATTAAGCATATTATTTTAGTAGTTTATTTATTACTATCCATTGATTAGCCAACATATTATGGGTAAGAATATCAGAGCTGGATGCAAAGTTGTTAAAAGTTTTGCCTTTAAAGTGTAATTGTCTAGACTCAGATTACTATCAAGTTGCACCAGTTTGTGACATTGGAACAAATATCTCAAATTTAATTTATCTCAGACCCTTATCCTTAAAGAGTACTAAACTTATATCACTAATATAAAAAGTAAACATAAAATACACAGAATAATTACTGACAGTATAAATAAATAATGTGATCAGTATAGTCCTTCTTTAAAGTTCAAATGTTCAGAACTGCAAGCAGATGACCGAGTAATTTGAAGACATGTCATTACCCTCAGAACTTAAATTCCTCTACCAAACCTTCCTTCCTGCCCTCCCTCTTGACTTTGCTTCCTTCCTTCGTTTCCTACTTATATTCAAATACGTGAGCAAGTACCACATAATCAGGATTGTTGTCTATTTTAATAACCTAGCTTTGGAAAGTATCCATGATTTTCTTGAAAAAGGCCATTTTGCTTTATTCTTCCATATTATAAAGAAAAATATTCTTAAAGATTTCCCCAGTTCTGAGTGGCTTAAAAAGCAGTTCACACATTTCTTGCATTGTGATGATTCCATTGCACAAGGGTCTCATTAAATAGAGTGAATAATTGAACCAGGATAATTTTAAAATCAGGATGATGCATTCAGTTTCTTCCTTATGTTTACTAAAAATATCTTTACAGGTGCAGTTAAGCAAATTTAGCCATTTAAAATTAATGCTCTTCACTTTGTTCAGCAATGATATTCACCAAGTTTTAAAAGACAATAGTGGAAACAATAGAAATATCTAGCATGTGTGTGTATCTCCAAATTAATAATTACGTGATTACTTCTTACAAAAAAATTAAAAGTTAGAGCCTCCCCTGGTGGCGCAGCAGTTGAGCGTTGGACTTCGAAGCTGCTCACAGCTTCCGCAGCGCCGGTTCGATCCCCAGCCACTGGTTGCGGGGCCCATGTGGCTCTACAGACCTTTCCTGCCATGTCCGCTGCTCCCCTCAGTGGTGTATTTCATCAGTCTGCCTGTTCTGTTTCCCGCTCTGGCTCTGGTGAATTCTCTCACCCTCCCGCACTTCTGACTATACCCAGTGCTTGTATAAATAAATAAATAAATCTTTAAAAAAATAAAAATAGGGACCTCCCCAGTGGTGCAGCGGTTGAGCACTGGGTTGCGAAGCTCCCCGCAGCCTCTGCAGTGCTGCTTCGATCCCTGGCTGCCACGCGAGGGTCCCACATGGCGTGCAGACCTCTCCTGCTGCCCGCTGCTCCCCTCAGCAGTGTACTTCGGTTGTCTGCCTGTTCTGTTCCCTGCTCTGGCTCTGGTGAATTCTCTCACCCTCCCGCGCTTCTGATTGTACCCCGTGCTTGTGTAAATAAATAAATAAATAAATCTTTAGAATAACTAACTAAATAAATAAATAAAAATAAATATTAGGCAGCTCTCCTGCCCACATATGACTATTCAGGTACCTTCCTCTTTTTTCTTTCTCCTATTCCTATTACCTCTTCTTTTAAATGTTAAAAAAAATAAAAATTGCTTCTTGATGTTACAGTTAAAATTCTCCCCTCTTTCAGTACATATGCACTGAAACATATATATATATGTGTGTGTGTGTGTGTATGTGTGTGTGTGTAGTTACATATATATGCATATTAACTATAGCTCATGCACTTAGGAATCATGCCAAAATCATATCAATATTTTTTCTGTGTGCTTTTCCCTCAGAATCGGTCAATAAAAGCAGCAAATCATCCCTAATTTGGGGGTACATGACACATGGTAAAGTTGAGCACTTTCTATATGGAATTTAGAGCGTAAATGAATGCAATGGAGATTTTAACTGACTATGGAGAGCGATCATGGAATAATGTGCTTGTACAGGCAACTCCCCAAAATACTTTCACTTCTAAGCAAAATTCAAA